CATACTTAGTTGTGGCACTGGCACTGGCAGGGGCACGGGCACTGCCAACCACGGGGCAGCCAGGAATGCGGCAGGGGGCGTGGATGGGTGGCGGTGACAATTCAATGTCATTATTGATGTCATTCTCACATTGTACGTATTTGTATTGTATTTTTATGGTTTTATAACCATTCAGTGGGGTGGTCTCTCTTCTGTCAAGATGTACGACAGCAGGCACTATATACCGATCTGGCTCAAGTTTTCAGAGAGTATATTTGCGCTCGTTACCCGATAGGCCATCAGCTCTTGGGTTTCTACTTCTTTCAGACTCGCTTCTTCGTCAGTTGTTCCACGAAGAAGTCTGCCACTTTGACATCATATTTGGTTGATGCATTGACTCTCCCGATGAACACGAACTACTCCTGTGAGATAACTATATAGCCTAATAACACCAAACATATAGAATTCGAAGCCAAAAGAATCCCAAATATATTAAGAACATATTTTGGGGAATGCCATGAACAGATTTCCTTAATTACTTTGCTCTCAAAATTCTCGCATTTCACACGAATCAAAAGCGGGAGAATCATTTGCAAAAATAAAACCAAAAAAGAAACCAAGAAACAAAATCAATGCTCATAATCCAATTTGGAACTGTCTGAAGTGAATACTCATATACATGTACATATACCATACACATATACTGTATGTATCTGTGTTTTTTTATTTGTGGTATTTCTATAATTTATTGCATTTCTGCTGAGATCCGCTTCAATCAAAACTTTTATGTCAGAGATTAACGATTAAAGTCATTAGCAGTTAAGATCGAGATCAGTCAAACTCTTGATGTGGATGTGGCTGTGGAGATGTGTCCTACCAGACAACAGGCAGGCCGAGGCTCGAGTCCCTATATGAACAGACAGACATACCGATATCCATATATTATATTTGTACAGCAGACAAAAGGCAATACGGTTCATTCTTTTATCGCTTTTGGCATTTTTAATGCGATGTCTGAGGCGGAGGTCGAGGTTGGCGTTGGAGTTGGAGTTGGAGGCATCGTCATCGTCATCGACTGGGACGACGAGAGCTGGCTGGGCTTGGTTTATTGTTTCCCCTGTCCCGCTTGTGGCTTGGTGCTTGCGGCATGGGGCACGGGGCAGGACGAATACGGAGCACATATTAAAAGGGCAGAGTTATAAAACATTAGCGCATATTAATCATTTTTCTTTGGTGCCCATACGAAAGAAATCCCATTTATTCGTTACCATTTCCCGCCACAGTTCTTGATGGGTTGCGTTGCGTTGCGTTGCAGTTGCAGTCACTCCAGAGCAGAGCGGAATTCAATTAAAGTTTTCGGTGTAACCATTCCCGGAATGAACACACAACCCGTACCGGTGGGGCACCGAACCACTGCACTGGTGGGGACAAAGTGCTGATGGAGAGTGGGGCGGTGGCGGTGGCGGGGGCTGGGTCGAGTCGGTCGTCAGAATGTCTCGTGTGTGTAGGGCTGTAGGGCTGTGTGCGTTTGTGTGTTGAGAACTGTCAAAATATTGACAGCGGCATCCGTTATGCTTTTTGCCCAAATTGATATTCTATTTTAAGAGTTTTCTCTCGCTAGCTCCCAGACTCCAGACTCCGACTACGACTCCGACTTCATTAAAAATATTTCCCCAAAATAGTAAGAAAATCTAAATAAATATAAAACTTATGAATACGGACGAGTTAATGATGCCGCCGAGCCGCTGAGATACAAACATAATGGAGATACTCTCCGCCGTAATCACTGACAAGCTCTTGACAGTTAGTCGGGGGGCCATGGGCTGCAGTCGGGGGGCTGCAGTTTGTGAATGAATTTTGGGCTTTGCTTTGTCTTGAATTTCTGCCGATTTCTTCTAACTGTCTGCCCGTCTCGTGGATTTACACAACCGAAATATCTGAAATATCTGCTGAGCTACTCCAAGCCCGAACCGAACCGAACCGAACTAACAAAAATTATTAATGAAACCTATGCTCGCGTGGAGTCTGCACCCTCAAGCCACAAAATGTAAAAAAAAAAGCTCGACTAGAGTGTGTGAAGCGATCCAACGCTGCGATCCGATCCCATCGGATCCAATGCGATCCATTGGCCATAGCTAAATATCATCAATTATCACCGATGTTCGTCGGCTCATTCATATTCCACCAGCAACAGCAACAGCAACGACGACGACGACGACGACGACGACGATCACTGATGTCGATCTGGTCAATCAATTTGGCTTTAACTTTGTCTCTGTCCCTGTCCCTGTCTATAGCTCTGACTCTGGCCCTAGGGCTAGAGGAACCACAACGCATGCCCCCCCTCCTCCCCTGCCCATCTCTCACCGACAGGTAAAGATTGTTCGCTCAACAGCACAAAATCGCTTTCTCACACATCGATGGACTCGTGGATTGACAAATTGCATTTCCTGGATTAATGATCGCCTAAATGGTATTTTATTAATTGATGTTGTTCCCTTTCCCCCCGCTCCCTCGTTGCTTGTGTTGAAACTGTTAACTGTTGGAAAATTATATATAATTATATTCGCATTTTTTATCCCACATTTACGGGGCGGTAGCAGAGGCGCAGGGGCAAGCAGTCCAATTTAAATGATCTGCTTGGCCGGAGGGAATTAATTTATGCAATTAATTAATAAGTCATTAATTACATTGAGGGTTTTCTTTCGGGTGTTTTACATACAGGTACGATTCAATATTTACATTTTGGATAGCATTTGTATTGCCGATGCGGGATATGGGATCATTTTATTTACCCCCGGAAAATTTTGGATTCGTTCTATTTGAGGTATGGCTCAACATACGTTACTAGTATCATTATCAGGGTAACAATATTCAATCGATTGAGGTGCTATTCCTTGAATATTGTGTTATTATACATATAGGCTATATATTTTGCCTTCCAGCCACTGATCTTTGCCGCAGCACTGTGTCAACATATCCAGTTCCCAAAATATGTATATAAATTGCGGTTCCGCCGAAGTTCACACCAGAAATAAGATAAAACGGGAAAAGTAAGCCGGAGAAAAATATATGCATGTCAAATGTGTAATTCCCAAATCACTTAATACTCATCAACTAATGAGGCCTAAAAGCTTCGGCCGCCGACGCGACGGATGTGTTGGACAATAACAACTTCAACTAATATCCATATCTACATGTTCCCCTTTTACCGCTGCTCCCCATCTCTTTCGGGTTTCTCTATATCTCATTTATTTATTTTGAAATTGTTAGGAGTACATATATCATTATTTTTGTGTTTCCCGTTTCCCCCCTTTTTCGGCTAACACACAAAATGCAGGAAATGGACGTGTTGACAAATAAACGAGGTTCCCCTGTCCAATATTTGCCAATATTCGTGCATGTATCTATGTATCTGAGAGTCTATATGTCTATATGTATGTATCCCACGAATTAAACACAAATTTCACCTGTGAAGAGGCGTGCACGTATCCGTGTAAGTATCGCTCTATTGTACACTTGTACGTTGTACGTTGTTTGAAAATCAAATAGAAGTTTTAGAGCTCTTCCAAAAACGAAAGTTAATAGTGACAAATCTGTTCGAACTTTCCATAGGTGCGAGTAGTACGTACATTACAAGTGCATATGTATGTATCTGTGAGTTACAGTTTTGGCACTGGGATCGGATGTTTGGGTGTTTTCGTGATGAATGCATTCCAACATCCTTCCCCTAGATCACACCCATTCCCATTCCACCCCCATCCACTGTGCCCCACGAATTTGACGGCGTCTCATTAGTCACATTTAAAATTGTATTTAATTACTTTCTCACTTCATCATCAGTCAAGTCTGTGGGTCGGACGACTACGAATACGACGCCGCCCCGTCATTGGTGTGTTTCCCTCCAGAGGGGGTGGCTGGTGGATGGGGGCTGGTTGCACGCCTGCGCCTCCCCAAAACGAGCACATGCCACAGCGTCCGCCGGCTGTTTGTTCTACAGACAAGAAGGCGAAAATTGATATACTTTCTGTTGCTGCTGCTGCTGGTGCTGCTGCTCCTGCTCCCGCTGTTGACGTCGACGTCGACGTCGCTGCCTTTCATCAATTTCAAATTAGTGAAAATCGAGAAACGGAAATTATTTACTATCTGGATGGGTGATGGGTGGTGGGTGGACGTTTCGTCCACCATGTATCCATCTATCTACCGTTTGGGCCATTACAAGTGCAATTTATCTCGCAAATCATTAATCAGCTTTCCGTTTGTTTTTCCCCAACCACCCACACTCCGCCCCACCCGTCCAGCTTGCTGATTGTTTTACCTCCCCCCCTCCGCACATTAACGGTATTTGGCAAACCACAAATGTGAATGAGAGGCCCCGCCCCACTCAATAAACACACAGCGAACATTCGACAAATGAAAAGGGCGTAGCTGCTCAATTGAATCGCATATAAAACATGATCGAGAGATATACAATACATAGGCACCAACACCGCGCAACAGGGTTAGGTTATGGAGAAGAAAATGGTATTAGCAATATTAGAGATATCTTCATTCAATCCTGCTTTATTCTCGAATTCCCTCTGTACCCAAAATATGTACACAAATACGTACGTAGGTATGTAGGACTCCCAATCGAATCGAATCCATCCCCAACCCTGATCGTTAGTGTATTCACGCAACACACACCTGGTCTGGCTGGTGTGTATGTATGTATTGGTATCGAAACGAGCGAATGAGCAGTCAGTCAGTTTATTGTCGACACATACAAAGATACATACATACACATGCATACATACATACAGCAAGAGAGCGAGCGAAACGAACGGCATCGGAACACTACACAAGAGTACATTCCCAAATCAATGGAAAAAGGGTATAAAAATGTCCATACAACTGCAAACCGGTTGAGTGTTGGGCACGTACACACTCACGCACAGGCAAAAGAAGTATTGGTGCACTCGCGTGTATGTGTATGTGAGCGGCATCGCAGAAGCAGCGAACTTTTTCAACGGCACGGTTCCAATTCGAATCTTTCGGTCGTCGGCGTCGGTCATGCGGTCGGATGGTGTGTGTTTGCTCGGATTATTCAGATGAATATAACAATATATCATATAACAATTAAATATTACTAATCAGAGGCCGTATCAGCCCCCCAAAACAGTGCAGTGTGTGTTATGTGCTTCGTGTTGTGACCCGCCCCTGTCCTTGTTCCCGCCTTCGAGCAGAAGAATAATTTGTGTTAATTGCATTAAGAAACGGTAAAGATTGCCGAAAAATATTTGCAATCAAACAAACAGCGAGAAGAAGGAGCAAGCAAAACGCAAAAAGCAAAAGGCTGCTGCTGTGCAAAGTGAAACGGTTCTTCAACGCACTCTCTTTTCGCCTGTCGTTGAAGCAGAGCGGAGAAGCGAAAACAACAAGAACAGCAGCAAAAGCGTGGGAGACGACAACGACAACCAATCCAGATCATAACGGTTCGCGCGTACGAAACAAATGTAAACGACAGACGAAAGAAAAGCCAGCAAGAAGCTAAGAAACACAACAGAAAGTGTGCGCTGAAATAGACAACAACAAATATCTGATCTCTCGATCAGAATCAGAATATTCGTGGACCAGAGAGTGAAAGGGAAAGAAGTACCGCGCTGGCTTCAATGCAACTTCGCGTGCACCCTACTATGGACTGTAGCGGCCGTTCAAATAGCAATATTGAACGCGATTCCGATTTGGGAGACGATCTGGTAAGAAAAGAAATTAAATGTCGCTTGAAAGGGAATTATACTGAGCAAACGTAATAAGCGAATACATAGAAAACTTCACAAACAGAAGAGAGTAGGAATGAGTTTATATTAACAGAGATTTAGATATGTACATGTGTATGTATGTACATACTTTTCAAATTTGCCATAAAACGTGCTTTGGTTAATGGTCTTCGTCTCCTCTCAAGAACCAAACTAGACCTGCTTGATTACTCTTGATATAACATCAAAGATTGCTTCAATATTTTCACCCCTCCCATCATCTCGATGAGTAAGCCATCTGGAACCGCTCTGTTGCCAAAAATATGCCAAAGACTCGCGTCTTCGTGATTCTATCTGAACATCTTTTTCAATTATTTGACAAAAAAATTTCCCAAGGTATATATTTCACCAGATGAAATTTGTCAAATTCAAATTAACGCAATATTCATCCTTTCATCTATCCATTAAATAGAGAATTTGATTGGTTTTTTTTTTCTTACCCTCTTGTTTGTAACCTGATCATCATTTTGGGCAGCAATTTCAGTATTTCTGAAAATATTATATCAGAGATAAAGTGGATGTCAGAGAGAGCTATAGGGGATATGTATGTATATCCAAACAGGTGTGTCGAATCGATCTTGGGGGAGAAAAAAAGCTGATTTGCCGTCGGCTGGCAGTACATATTTCTTCCTACTCCTCCAGCTTGATGATGATCTCTTGTTTGGTTATTGTTCGTTATTTTTATTTGTTGGCCTTAACCAGAAATCGAATTCAAGCAAAATCAAGTTAAATTGTTTGCAGATGATTCAAAGCGTAATTATAATGTTAAGATAATGTTGATATTGGTGCTGGGGTACAGAGGGAATGCAGAGATACTCGTATTTTGGCGTTTCTATTTGTTAGAGAGCCGTTAAAAGGTGACATGCTAAATGGTACCACACAGCGCATTTCTCAAGCATACAGATACTCACACACACGCACACACATTCACACATTGATTGGGCCTAAGTGCATAACATACTCATAAATACAAATAGATTCATCTGTTTCGTGGTACGGACACGGCACCCAGAGACAGGGGCAGAGACAGAGGACAGAGCCGCGTCCCATCCCGTCATCAGTGGGATCTCGTTCACAATTTCCATCTACCATCAATTGAAAGATCTCTTTCAATCCAAGCTCTTTGATGGCGTTCATATGTAAATAAATTGTTCAAATATTTGCATTATTTGTTAGTACCTTAAATGAATATTAAATGGGTTTTATTGCCTTTCAGTCCCGCCGTTCCATTCGTTTTCAGTCTTTCAGGTATCCATTGGATGTGTATGTGACTGTGACTGTTGGCTGTGCAGCATCCGATGATGCCGATGCTGATGCTGTCTCTTCTTCAATTCAATAAAACTCTTGTTAGTTTTTTCCAGCCTTTTGTTTTTCTTTCAGTTTTATTATTGTTAATAGGCAGTGGCTGTAGCAGTGGCTGGCCGGGTCGATCAACAATGAGCCAGACTTTATACGTATACACTCACTCGGTGACGAGACGCGGCCATTTACATAATTTTTAATAGCCTCGCTTTTGGCCAGGCCATCCAGCACTGGGCGCTGTCTGACTGACTCCTCTGATAGCCGGGTTGTTGAGCTGTGCAAACATTGTCCCAGAGTTCAGTACCAATCCACGTCACTTTGAGATATTCCCTTCTTTGCGGCGGGTGTTAATTGAAGGGCAAGGATGAGCGGATGAACGGGGTTTCACAATTGAATATCACTTACACCACCAACACAACACCCCATGTGGGTGTTATTTAATTAACCCAAACCCCCGAGTCCCGAGTTAACTTATCGAACTGAAAACTCTTTATACATACATATGCTGGTGTCATTCGCACATCCGATCCCTCCTCGCTGATCCGATCCATCCGATCCCCAGTGCCGTACAGTACAGTTCGAGTATTTCTATTCAAATCAAATCCTAAGGCTACTCTCAGATTTTCGACTCGAAAGTCACGATTAAACAATAATGTGGGCTGTCAAAAAGTCATAAATTCTCAAATGAAACCAACTCCGCGAGTCGTGCCCAATGGGCCGATGCTGGATGTCCGATGCCCATTACTTGTTGGCCGTCGTCATTCGGGCATCGCTTTAATTACTTGGGTTAAACGCAGAGTTTAAAATTATTGTCGAATTGCTGTCTTTAATTTTTGAATCGTTTTTAAATTAAATCAAGTCCCGAACATGACTCTCCCCCGACAATTGAACTTCACTCCCGCTTTGCCATCGATTCTTTTTCTTGGCTTTGCTCTTGTACGAGTATCTTGAGTTTTGACCACTGCACGTGCTCCGGCCAGAGTTCCCACATTAAATCATGGGCTTCGTGAGGGGGGAAGGGGTTTGGTGTTGGTGCTGGTGTTGGTGTTGGGGTTGCGGGTCTCCTCCGAAAATCTCAGTGGCTGTTAGCTGCTCGTTTGGTGGTGCACGGATTCACACTTTGGAACGTTTTCGGTTTTATTTATGGCCGGTTTTAATGGATCACTATTAGCACTCGATGGAAATTGAATTTTGAAAATATTTACAGCCGATTTTGAAAATATTTACAGCAGATTTTGAAAATCTTTTAATGGAAGATATTTTATAGGAAATATTTAATTTGCGATTTCTTGCGAACTTTTGATGAAGCCTTAAAATTAAGTCTACGAATTCGGGGTTACACGACTCTCCTTCTGATGCGTTAACTGTTTCACACTTGGTCGCATGGAAAATTATGTAGAGTGGGCCACTTACTCCTCCCTGCCCAAGCCCCCTCTCTGGATATATCTCCCTGCCCCCAGTCTCTTGGCCATTCATTCCACTAACTCATTTGGGGTCGGACGCGCAACGGCAACGCCAACAACGGCACCTGTTATAATTTGTTTGGCTTCTTGTACGCTGACAGGCAACGATTTTTATTAAATTCTTTTTGTGTGCTCCTCTTCTTTTCCTTCTTGCTGCTGCTGCTCTGCTGCTGTTGTTGTTGCATAACCATATAACCTTTAGAGTGCGTGTGTGGGACAAGAAAAATATTTGATTAAGTATCTAGTGGGGAGGCCTGCCCTGCCCTGCTCAGCTGGCTGCCCCTTCCATTGGGGTGACACTTCCACTTCCCCCCTCCCGTGACACATTCGCCGCTTTGGTGGCGCTTTCAACCGCAATGACAAACGAAATTTGTTTTGCTTTTAGTATCTTTAGGGGCGCGAACTTGAAACTGCCAAAACGTATGCCCAAAAGGGTGGCGGCTGTTGCAGTGGGGGCAGGGGCATGTATGGTGTGTGTGGGGCCGTGTCACGTCATTTGTGGAAGAATGAGTATTGTTTTTTAATTTAATTTTTGCAATTACAAATACAACAAAAAGCGTATGGCGACAAATGTCAGCCGCAAAATCAACTGCAGAAAGTGCTCATAAAAAAATATGATTATTATTGGTACCTAATATTACAGTTTTTTGTTGTTGTTCCTGCTGTTGCTGCCGTTTCATCTGTTGTTGTTTTTGTTGCCGTGGCCGTATTGTTTTTAATGAATTTATGAATTATATTCCCAACCATAGCTAATAAAATTGTTAATTGGATTTTTCCAGCACAGCTGCCGATTGCGCGATAAACTTTTGCGCCAATGCGAAAATGCAAAAGCGGCAACGAAAAAAAAAGCAAACGAACGAGCGAACGAAAAAAACCAATCGTGAATCGCCAAGCGAATAAGTGTGAATGCAAAAATATGAATAGAATACCAAGGTGTATTTATACAAGGTGAGGCATTGCCACAATTCGGCAGCTGCTCCTGAAGCACCTTGCTTGATCAAGGATATGGAGGGATAATAATAGATTGAGCGAAGATTATTATCAGAGTGCACTCACTTTTGCACTCATCTCATTCCTTTTCTTACCTTTTTATCTATATTTTCCCTCCTGAATTGGGTGTGCCTTCTGGGGGTATATAAACCCTTCTCTACGGTGCCTTTGTATACCAAGCCAATCAATCCACTGATTATCGTTTTGTGGAAAGTGAAGTCGTAGAGAACTTTCTTCAGATGGCTCCACACCCAAAAAAACATAAAAGTAAAGAAATATATTTTTGGCAGACGACGACAACAAGCCATTTGCCTTCGCACCTCCTGCCCCCTGCCACCTCCTGAGGGCCATATCCAGACATTGGTTCGTCCGTCCATCCGTCCCGTCCGTTCGTCCAAGCCGTCGGTTTTAGGGGCAGGGCCAGAGACAGGCGGTCTTGCGGGCTGGCCAAAGCAATAAAATAATGCAGTTTTTAATTATTGCCGCCTGCAATCGAAGCTAGACGCAGTGAATCCACCCCAGACATCGAATGGAGACGTGGTCGAGGCTTTGGACAGATAGCTAGCTAGAGAGAGAGAGAGAGATCCAGAAGAGAAGTTTCAAGCGAACGATCCCAACTATTTTGCTGTGTTTAACCGTTGCGTTTTTCCTCATCCTCATCCTTCTCCTCCTGCTCCTGCTGCTGCTCCTGCTTGTACCTTCTGCACTCCTCCCTGCCTCTCCCCCCTGCTGCCTTTTAACCGGTTTATTTTTTGTGTTTTTATTGTTTACGCGAAACTTTTCGTCTGGCTGTAGCCTCACATTACATGGGCGTGCGTGTAAGCACTGTACGTATACGTACAGATCTACATATGTATGTGTACACATATGAGTATTCGTGTGCACGCTGGCATACATACATATGTATGTATGTATCTGACAGATACGTTTTCGCGGACGCCAGCCCAGCGCCATTACGTTTCCCCTTTGTGTGTGTGTGTGTGTGTGTGTGTGCATTTGTTGCCCGTTTCATTTTGCTGTTTCTGTTTTGTTGTTTCCATTTTTATATTTTATTCGCTTTATTTTTTCCGCTCCGACGCTCGCGAGCGAATGAAATCGCGTTTGTACGCACGCACACAGCCAATCATTCGTGTATCTGGGTGTGTGTGTGTGTGCTCCGACTCTGTATGTATGCATGTATCTGTCAGATACGTTTTGCATTTTAATTTTATTTCCATGCCCCCAATGCCTGCTGCAAGCAGCTCCAGGCGGCGACGGCGGTACATTGGAGTACGATCTCTGGTCGGTCCCTGCCGCATCGACCACGTTGCACATGTTTTTTTTTTGTTTATTTTTTGGTGTGTTGTTTGTCCTTTTTTTCTACATCTTTAATTTTATATTCTCTCAGTCAGCCGCTGGCTGTGGGCTCGTTGCAGCGCGTTGAAATACATAATTCGCCACGGGGTACATGCGTAAATGAGCAATTTTTATTTATATATACATATGTACAGACATATGTACATATTTAGATATAGATACATATTTATTCGGTTACAAGATACGCGTATATACATATGTATCCACATACTATGCGTGCGAACACATGTGGCAGAGAGAGAGAGAGAGGCACAGTGTGGGAAAGGCAGCGCCCCAAAGGCTTGGATCGTCAGTGGAGGAATTAATTGAATACTTCTGAATATCTGAAAATTGTATATGAATTATTTTCGCTGTAAAGTTAGGCAATTAACCGACGGTTGAGCTCAAGTAGATCCCATTCCGTAGATTTAATATCCCAAAAATATATTAGAGTAGATATATTCTTTTGTTAGCTTCTCCAGAACGAATCTCATGCAGCCCTCACTCGAACAATATGCATTTGAATTTCTCAGTTTTTGCATCGCAATGTGACAATAATCCTAATAAACTTAAGACGCCAGCACGCCCCGAGCTGATCCTCAAAAGAGGAGAGTCTCTGTGCAGAGACAGGCGAGGAGGACGGGGAGAACCCACTTGAGTCATAAGGACATTAGGCCTTTGGTTCATTTAGAGTTCAAGCTAAAAAAAAAAACAAAAAGAAGAAAGGAAAACCAAAAACCAAAAAGGAAAAAGAGGAAATGCAGTTGTAAAACAAGCAAAGCCAGACACAGACATCGAGAGGGCCAAAGATGCAGATACACATAGATACACATGCTCGGCTGGCAATGCCATAATCTTAATCCTTCACACAATAAACGCCCCTTGTGTGCACGGGTGCCGCAGTGCTGGTGGTTGGTAGCCAGCGGCTGATCCTGTTTGCCGGCAGCGCCCTTCACAGCTTGCCTTGAGGTCCTGAGCAGTTCTCGAGGTCCATTCGCGGACAGCATTGTCACATTATGGATTTCCGAGCGGTCGCAGCGGCACGTCCTTTTGTTTCAAAATTAGCACGGCATGTTGCACATGCGGCACGGGTTCGCTGCGGCTCCCTTCCGTTCGTACTCGTATCTCTGTAGTCTGACTGACGTCTGTCGTCTGTCCTGTCCTCCTGTCCGCTTCCTACAAATTTGTCCATTCGATTGTTATACAGCGAATGGAAATTAACTAAATTGCATTTGTGCGGCTGCAAATGCAATGATAATAAATTAAGATACATTACGTTTATTTTCCAGCTACTTCTATCGAAAATGTAATGTAAACTAATTAGTGATAAAAAACGAGGGGTACGCCGAAAGGGAGTGGGGGGGGGGGGCTTGAAAAACTGTCAACGGCAAATAAATTAAATATTTTACCTATACAAAGGCACAATTGTTGCACTCAGATAGATAGTCGTCTCCGAGTCGCCTCTGCGGTCTATTGAAAGCTATTAAAGTAAATTGCACTGGTATCGCCATCGCCCTCTCTGGGGCCCACATCCATTTGTATTGTGTTGCCTAGTATTGTCGTATTCGTATCTGACATATGTACGGCGGAGGGTGTGGTGTGGGTGCTGCTGCTGCTGCCGCTGCTGCCTGTCCGCCAGCCAGCAGAGAGAGGTCTAATTGCGATTTAATGTCTTTGCTGAAAGTCGAGCTTCACCTGCAGTTGAAGTTGCGAGCGGTGGAGACGATAACAGTAGCGTTTTATCAATGCTAGAATTAATGGAACTAACGTGTCCCACCAGACCACCATACACACATATTGCTATACATAGCTATGTATATGTAGTACCTCCATTAGCTGGAGGTGCCTCTGTATGTGTGCCTGTGTTTTCCCCACCATCCATCCATCCATCCATCCATCCATCCATTGGATGTGACTTAATGCCTTCCAAGTGGAACACCTTATCGCTTCATGCTGATTTATGCGTCGCCTATAACAGCCACAGTCACAGCCCCAGCCCTAGCCCCAGAAGCATTATAGTTCAGCAGAAGCTCATTCCGATATTCAGATGGAATTCCATATCTTTTTCCAGGAATTGTTGCGCTGCTTTTGATGGATTCTTTCCTTTTCTTTTCGGTTTGTTAGCCAGATATTTGTGGGAAACCTTTAAATTGCATTGAAAATTTATACAATTTGTAAAATATTTTGCCATAAATTCACTTTGAAGAATAAGCATTCAAAATAATATTCTATAGACTCTTCCTGCCCCTCCCATTTGGGGCGCCTCGTAGTGCACAACTTTGTTCGATTTTTAATGCATAAAATAAATAAATTACAAATTTAAGCTCTTTGGGGTGTGTTCATTCTCCATCCAAACAACTAACCAACCATCCACCCAACCTTCCATCCATCCATCCAGCCATCCATCTATATTTTCGCATCCATTTGCAACTGCAACTGCAACACAACTGCAGAGGCAGAGTCAGAGTCAGAGACAGAGGCAGCAACAAAAAGCGGCACAAATTCGTTGTGCATTAATTAGACATTTTATAGGTGCAAGTTGGCATGGCCTGTGCATGTCTGCTCCTCCATTGGGCAGCCCAGACCACAATTATAATTGTTTGGGCCTGGTCAACACACAGAGTCGCAACAGAAAACCGCAACGAAAAGGCAGCCAGAAGACCACAGAGGAGGCATCCGTGGAGAGTGGAGCGTACATACATACGTGTATTTCGCATGGTTTCGATAACTTACATTAATTTGATATATATACACACACACACACACACACACACAGAGGAGTACTCTACAGTGGAGTAACCACTGACTTTGGCTAACTACATAGCAACCCGTCCAAGAGCCAGGCCAAGTCAAGAGGCCACATCCCATTGCATGTGCGAGAGGCGATCATAACGCTCTCATTTCTCTCAGCCACAGCCGCAGCCACAGCCACAGACATACTCGTATGAGTACTTGTGCACTCATGTATCTTTAAGCTTATACAAGTATCTTCCCCTCCGTTGTGGGTCTGAGTGTGCAACATTTTTGCTATAGCAGAAACAGGGGGGAGGTGAGGGACTTGCATTTTGCGCCAACTTCAAAGAATTCCGAGAACTCTCTTTCTCTATGGTCGAGGCATTGTCTATGCCTTGGTTTTGGTTGCGTTTATGATTACACCCAAGCGACACCACCAGCAACAGCAACAACACTTGCCACTACTCATATGTACAAGGCGATGGGGCAAGGCGATAAATGTTGTACACATATCTACATACGGAGTACTCCTCATACCTGTGCCCTGGCTCTGGCTCTGGCTGTGACTCTGACTTGGACTCGGTCTCTGGCTTACTTTGTGGAACGTTGCTCTGGTGCTGCTGCTGCTGCTGCGTTGACTGTTGGCTGTGTTTAAATTGAAAATTCCCGATTTGCACACAGTCACAGATGCGCTTAATTTGCACCTCTCCAAATGCATAAAAACCAAGAAGCCGTGATGGAGTGCCAGTGCCAAAGCCAAAGCCAGTGCCAGAGTTGCAGGTCCCCATGCAGCAGATGGAGCTGTCGCTGCTGCTGCTGTTGCTGTGTTGCTGCAGTTGCACTCTCGGCCATGCGTGGCGCACTTCTTGGCAAAGAGTCACGGCTGAAAATATTCACAGTACGCCCTGACCACGGCTCTGCCGGGCAGGAGTGGACGCGGCTGTGTACACTTTTTTTAGCGGGAGGCCAGCACAGAGCGGCCCTGGAGCTGCGTCTATCCGAGAGTGTGAACAGAGCAGAGCAGAGCTCTGGTCTCTGGACTGGGGACTGTGGTCTCTTGGTGCCTGATTGCCGTTTTGTGGGTCTGCCATTGTTAATTTATTAAGTGGTTACCTTTGTTGTCACCCTCTCCATCTGTCCCTTGGTCTGCTTCTCCGCCTGTCTGCCTGTCCGCCTATCCGCCTGGAGGAAGTGGCTTTCAGTTGCTTTCAATTGAATTTGCCAGGCGTGCCTTGGCTAATGTGTTTCCCCTGTGGCACGGGTCTTGCGGCAAGCAGAGAGCAACACCATAAACCAGATTCCGAGTCGGAGTCAGAGCTAAAGCTAGAGCCAAATCAATGAACATTTGCTAAATGCTGCCCACGCCACAGTTACAGTCACAGTCACAGGAAAGAGATCTTTATATCGATTCTGATTCTGATTGTGTTTCTGCCGCCTTCGATCGATGGACAAAGCGCTGCCCATTAGCGTCGCACAGCGGGCGGTCAATTGTGGCGGCTTGTTGACATAAGCGCCGCCATCAATCCGCAATTCGCAATTCGGAATCGACTCAAACGTTTCTCTCTTCTCTCTGTCGACAGTCACATGGTGATCGAACGGACGACGAGATGCGCGACTGCGACTCCGTGGATGGAGAGCATCATCAGCTGAGCGCCAAGGCGGCGATTGCGGCCAGACTCAGTCACACAGCGGCCGGAGGCGGAGGCCACAACTTTGCCAGTCCCGATCAGCAGACAGAACTGTCGCTAAGGTGGGTAGATCCACGATCCACGCGCCATGGCGTGATGATTCCTAATCTCTAACGCTATCGTTGCAGCCATCATCACCAGCTGCCGCCAAACCATCCGCTGAACGCGCTGGGCAGCTTCATGGGCATCGGGGGACTACACAGCATTCCAAATCTGCAGCACAGCGACGTGCTGGAGAAGCTCAAGATGCAGGTGCGCGACATGAAGGTGGGACTAATGGTGAGTGGATGAGTGAGTGACTGAGAGTGGCTGAATGGCTGGCTAACCAACGGTGCCGCGTTGCCTGTTGCAGGAACAGGACTATGCGGCCGCTGCACATGCGGCAGCCTTCGGGGCCAACATGCTGCCCACGACGATTAGCTCGGGCTTTACACTGCCCCACAATTCGGTGGCTGCGGCAGCGGCAGCAGCCTCCTTTGGCCATGTCGCAACGGCGCCCACCGCCAGCAATGGAGGAAGCTACAATGGGGGTGTCATGCTAGGAGGAGGAGGAGCAGGAGGCGGTGGCACCACCACCACCACACCAAGTTCGGGCAGCAATCCAGCCACCAATGGAGGCAGCCACTCCGTTTCCAACAACAGCAACATCAGCCACAACAACAACAACAGTAACAGCGGAGGAGGCGGAGGAGGTGGACCAGGAGGAGGAGGAGGAGGAGGAGGACATCCCTTCTCGTTTGCATCGCCCACAGCAGTGGCAGGCGGCGGCAAAGAAGGTTGGTATTGTGGCATCGCCACTCGAGGGACTCCATTGTGTTTAACTGTTGCACTCAGCCCGCCACTTTGCAGCTAATTCCGCATCGAACTCATCGACGTCCAGCGAGGCATCGAATTCATCGCAGCAGAATAATGGATGGAGCTTTGAAGAGCAGTACAAACAAGTCAGACAGGTTAGTCCTCCCTCCCCCTCCCCAGTCTAAGTCTAAGTTTCGTCCCAAGTGTTAGTCTCAGACCCAGTCGTAGTCTCTTCTCTGTCAGTCAATTGAATTCGACAAAACTCTCTGTAAACAAGATGCAGGCAAAACTATCAATTAACGGCTAATAGCAAACGCAACGGGGGCAACAGCCAAGCTGTGAGCCAAGCAGGAGCATCCCATCCCAACCGGAACAGCAGCAGCAGCAGCAGCAGCAGCAGCATCATCTTCCCGTCATCTCCTGGGTAAACCAGTTAAAAGGCAAGCAGCCCAGAGAGAGTCCAGTTTTGATCTCGTTTCGAGTCTGCTTTGCTCTGCTCTGCTCTGCTTTTGCTGCTTAGTGCCGCCTTGAGGCGTTCCAGTCGATAGTTCCGGTTTGCAATTGAGCAATTAATGAAGCCCATCTCTTAAGGGCGTTAATTTGGTGAGAAAATAGCTAGTTTACCCCTCGTTTACTTCTCGTTCCCTCGCCCGTGCTGTGTTGTATGTTGTGCTGTGCTGTGTGCGGTCCGGTCCAGTCCAGTCCAGGTCCAGATGCTGACCAAGATGAGCAATTAGGCCCGAAATCTTGTGCGCTTCGCTTTTTGGGGTCGATGTTGATCTGGGGTAAGTCCACGAGTGCGCGAGTCGAGATCTGGAACAGAGAGAAGTGCACAATATTTTGGTCATTAAATTGTGGTTGCCAAAAATGTGTGTGGCTGCTGCTGCTGCTGCTGCTGCGCCGTGTGAACCTCAACAGCTTTTGGCTCGGGCTCGGGCTCGGGTTGGCCATAAAAACCAAATTTCGATTAACTTTAAATGCACACACACACAGACACACGCACACACACAGACATGACCACACAGTCCGTACGCCCTTTGCAGATCCACAAGGAAAGGCAGAGGCAGTGCCATATAGCCATAGCCATAGCGAGAGCTATCCATCAAACGGAGCCCGCATTCTCTATGCACTATAAAAACTTTGACCCTCGCAATGCACTGCAAAAGATACTTATGTATCTCTGTAGCTGTAGCTGTATCTGTATCTGTCTCTGTATCTACGCTTCACGCTTAACACCTTCGCTTACACCGTGTGTGATGTGGGGCTAAGCCTTCAATGATGATGATGATTTTTCTTTTTTTTCTTTTTTGCTGAAACCGGCTGAATGCCCCTGCCTCGCTATACCCGCCAGCCAGAGCTCACCCCCGCGGGTACTGGCCCCAGCCGCCTCGATAGGTGAGGTGTTGGGCAAAATCCCTTGAAGCTGATCCAAAATGGCCTGGCTGCCTTTTCCTTCATTAATTGTGAAAAAAACACGAAATGAAATAAAGCGAAACGTTAATTATGTTAATTGAACAGATTGGCCAGGCAGGGCCAACTATGAAGAGCCATTTTGAAAGAGAATCACACAGTATATATATACACACACACACACACACACACACAGGCATACACACAAAGATATACTCTTTATGTATCTGCGTACATTCTCCGCCATTCGCCATCAGAGCAGCATCGCCTTTCCCAAAGTCAGATTCTGCTCTGATTTTAGCCGTGTGTGTGCTCCCTCCTGGTCTCCCTCCCCCATCCAACCCAGTGGTCTGTGCTTTGCGCCATCCGTCAGTCAGCCATCTATCCATCCCGTCCCATCCATCCATCCATCCATCTATCTCGTATCTATCTTTCTATCCATCCATCCATCCATCCATCCGCAGACGAAGACGACGAAGACAACAACTAAAGAAAAAAAAACAAAAATAAAAACAAAAAATATTATTTTTGGTACATTTCGCTGCTCATTTCTTGTACTAACGAATATTATTTAGTTTCGTTTGGCGTTCGCTTGGCGCTGCTCCGCTCTGCTATGCTCTGCTCTCATTAATCAATGTCAATTATCTGTACATATAGTACTGAATAATTATGTTTAATTATAGACCCCTAAAGCATTTTCCAATATTATTTTATTCTATTTCTTTGTACTTTAATTCTGAACAAATATTTTATGTCTGCCTCTGCCTTCGCCTCCTCCTACCTCTATAGAATAATTCATATTCTTTATCTTTATTATGTATTTGGGAAGTGTGGAGATTGGAACTTCCTTTCAATCCGCCAGAACCTTTTTTTGGCGCGTGTTCTTTGTAATTAGTTGCAGATCTTAGTCATCGGAGGAGGGATCAAGTGAAACGTTCTAAAAGTTCCATTTCGATATGGATATTTCGATTGTTTTATGGAATTCTGTAGAGTGCTTTGAGATTAGAACTTCTGACATTCTTTCTATTTATTCTCTCAAAACTCTCAAACATGCGCTGCGGATCATTTAACTTAAACAAACTTCAATCAGCTTCAAAGTGTCAAAAGATACATAAAATGTCTTGTATTTAAATATATGTATATTCTCTCGAATGAAGATTGACTATAATTTGATTATTGAAAGCATTAAACAGTTTAGATACTTATTTGCCTGGGCAAGAGCCACATTCCCTAGCAAATTAAAAGAGCCAACCAATTGAGTAGAATATAAAACTGAACAATCTGTTGAACACATTTTCAATAGTGAGTGTGAACTTCTTGAATAAATATGCAAGCAACCTGCAGATGCATTTACATCTGTACATCGGTGCCTGGATCTGCATCTGCATCTGTATGTGTGTGTAAGTGGCAGCGAACAAATTATGCGCTCGATGCTGCAGCAGGATAACACTTATGAAGTGCAAACGGGAAGGAACCCTGCAACGGGATCTGTGTCCAATATACGAATATAAATTTTAATGCTTTTGCCTTTCCCTGTATCTGCATCTCCATCTGATAGTTATAAATTACACCCACACACACACACACACACAAATAAGTGCAGAGGGCAGGCACCCAAAATTGATCTGCTGGCGAAAAATGCATTTGAAGAATTCCCAGAATCAAGGATTCAAATTTCAAGCAGTCGTCGCTGCTGCGAGGGATTTGTGTTCGGTTAGGTACTAAGTCCAGGCGACAAATAAGTGAGATTATTTTTATAACCCAAACCCAAAGGATCTCGTATGTACGTCTGTGCTCAGCACATGTGTGCCTGTTTTGGAAGGACATGCAGCAGCAGCAGCAGCAGCAGCAGCAGCAGCGGCTTCTTCGATAGTTATAAAAACGATTATGATTGGTCTACAAACTCCTAGTTAGGGGATAGATAGAGTTCATGTATTTTCCGCTTTATTGCTTTATTGCCTGCGGATTTGTGAGCGAGCTTAACGGTTCTGCGGCTGGCTGCTGTGATGCAAGCCAGGGATCGGATCGGAGCGGATCGGTTCGATGCGTCGCCAGTGGCAGGTTTTCCAGCAACCCTTGTGTGTGCATGTGGAAAGCGAGACTTCATTTTATGATTATTAATACAAATACCCCAGACAAGCAGGCAGGCACAGGCGCAAGCAGGGCAGGCAGGCAGGCAGCCAATCACACAGATACACAAGACTCTCTGTGTGTGCGTGAGTGCAGCAACAGCATCGACAGCGGCAGCATCTCAATCGAGACTCCTGCCATATTTTTAGTTGATAAACGACCTTTGATGGCGTTGCATCGTCGCGTTGATCAATGTCTCTCGTCTGGAATAAATAATCGAAACTGTCTATAAAGCGAGATCCGTCCACTGATCCCTGGAATTGCAAAGTGCAAAGTGAAAGAACGTGGTGCTGCCCAAGCGAATAATAACCCAACCCATCGACAAAAGCTCAACAAGTGCGATCAAAATGCTCATTTCGGAAGATCAAATACAGGAGGTACATATCCCACCCCCCACAAACCCCCTCTCCAGGGATCTCTTGCCAGCTAGAAGTGAACTTTAATTGCAGTGAAATCAGATCGGAAAAAAGTTGTGAGCAAATGGCAAATCGGTTAACGAACAACTTTCAGGCTGAAACTTCAATCAATTTATTTCTGTTGCTTAATTATTTTTTGTTTCTTTTGCCCGACTCGACTCGACTCTCCACACAAAGAAGTATTAAGGAATAAATATAAATTCACATACATATGTATATGTATGTGCATATGTATCTGTGTATCTGTTGGATACAGTGGTGCTCCTATAGCCTCTTGTGGGCGTCGTGCATCATAAAAAATATCCCCAGCCAGTTTTTTGGGAAGCAGGCGGCAGCAGCCTCGTCGCGTCTCTCGTCTCGTCTCGTCAGAGCCCACAGTTTGTGCCATGGAGAGCGGGGCTCTGGGGCTGACTTGGTTTTAAATCATTTATGCGAAGTGAAGGAAGCAGGCGGACCGAAAGGGGGGCAGTGCAGGGTACAGGTACAGGTATACAGGCGGTGGAGGAGCCGAAGGAGGCAGTTCATCATTCGCATTGACTTAGAATGTGCACCACGGATAGGACGTCTCTGGATCTCTGTCTCTCAGTTTCTGTCTCTCAGTTTCTGTATCTGTGTATCCCTCTCTGCGGTGTGTGCTGCTGCTGCTGCTGCTGCGGCTGCTGCTGCCTGATGCTGCAGTAGGCGGAAAGTATGATGAATTCCGAATTTGATGAGTTCACTCCGATGTTGTCATTAATTTTGAACATACTCGTACGAGTACCCACACTACCTGAGCTCTGCAGCTAAAGCTAAAGTCAAAGCCAGGGCTTTGGCTAGTTTAAGGCTTTCCTTTCGAGAAGTTGCCAGCCTGCCAGCCAGCCAGCCCGTCGGTTCCTGGTGGCAAAGGTCAAAGCATGAGCCTCGGGAGAGGCCCCGTACCCCACGTCTCTAGTTGCTGCAAACGTAGATGATAAATAATAACGAATAGATGCCAGATACATTTGTATCTACATACATACATATGTATGCACGTATCTACATATTTATGTATGTATGTATGTATGCATTTATGTCTATTTGCCGTATGTATCTCTAGCCCTATCTTTATCACCTAATTATCCATTGTGCTCTCGTACTCGTACTCTTTCTTATTCCCTTTTCCCTCTGACCTTTTCTATTGTACTTCACGCTCATTGAGTGGTGCCTCACACTCACACTCGAGCATTCACCCATTCCCGAAACGAGGCCAGAAATGGAGGTTAGGGGAATGTTTCTCTAACAAGCGACCAACGAACCAACCAAGCAACCCCCAGCAAACAAACCACCGAAAGAGAGTGAGCGAAAGAGCATGAGAAGCGCAACACGCGCCCCTGTCAACATCCCCACACATCAACAACAACAACAACATCAACATCTATCTATTGTTGTTCCAACATTCATTCCAAACAAAAGGGCAAAGCGGGCCAAACGCCATTTTGTGCGGAATCATTGGCCAAAAGAGTCAAGTTGTTTGTTGTTGCCACCCATTGTTGCATTATGCCCATTGTATCCATATTATAAGGTTATTATAACACTCGTTCTTATTTTCTTTTCTGTTTCCCCCCTCCTCCCTCCTCTGTACTTTCAGCTCTACGAAATCAATGACGATCCCAAGCGCAAGGAGTTCCTCGATGATTTGTTCTCGTTTATGCAAAAGCGCGGTAAGTTGCAAGATACAGTGGGGGCATAGTCAAGGGAATAGTTAAAGGGTTGTGGAGGGGGGGTATCCAGATTGTGGTTTGGGGTTGGGGCAACATTTGCATTTGTTGCCCTCGCCTGGTCTGGCCTGGCCTGGCCTGGCAATGATGACGGATTTGCTGACTCAGCCTGCCAAGTGTTTTTGGGCTCACTCAAATTATGTTAATTGAATAAATTTCTCGGCACTTTGACGTTTGATTTTGAAGCTTGCGGCCAAAAGGGGAGCCATTAAAATATGCAGAAATTCTAGAGAAAGAAACCCATCAAGAGCAAGAGGGGCAAAAGAGGAGAGGAGGAAAGGGGAATGGCAGCCAGCAGAGAAATCGTTATGCGGCTGACTTTTTGTCATTTTGTCACTTCAAATTACTGTCAAACTCACACACACACACACACCCAGTAACTCATCAAGGGAAAGGGGTATGCACCCCATATGCATATTGGTACTTAAATTTCGAAGGCGACTTGCCGCTGCAATCGGAGCAAATGAAATGCCTATTTATAAGCCAGAGAGCCAGCGAGCCAGGGAGCCGAGCAAGCATGCGCTTTCCTGTACTTTTGTCATTAATTATGAGCATTAACCGAAAATGCATCGGAAATCTGTGGCAGAACACGCACACCGATACCCACACCCACATACGTACACGTATGCATCTGGTAGCTTGCCGTGACTGTACTCGCGTTAATAAATCCAATTTCCTGTTCCTTGAGCGTCCTTTTTCGCTTGAAAATGGAATCACAATTCTTCACAATGATTTGTGATTGTGTGTACTGGTGTGTGTGTGTGCCCTCGTGTGTCGAGTGTTTGTTGCAATCGCCTGACTGGCGACTTGAGAGTGCATTAAATTTGTTTGTATTTGCATATCGTAGGAATGTAGGTGTAGGGCCCAATCCGCAGACGATACTCTTTATAGGGACAAGAAGGGTTTCCATATTCGCAGCCTAACTTTGTATGTATTTGGTGAGTGATACTAGGGGATTTACGGGAATGTTCTCTGATGTGCAACATAGAGAATGCCTCACCAGATGGCCTCAAGGAGAAGCAGCAAGAGATCTGAGGCAAAGAGTATCTCTCAGTCGATTCTTGAGTATCCCAGTCAATGTTTGTATGTTTAACAAAAGTTCCATAACCCAATCCAGTGCATACACACATATGAATGCCTGTGAGTATCTGTGTGTGTGTTTCGCACACATGTGCGAATCTGCGGCGGAAGAAATTCTGATATTTTAATGCCTGCCTGAGCTTGACTTGGCCCCAGATGCAATTATTTATTTATTTTATCTAATTTCATACAGAGATACATAAATATCTACACATATCTATCTGTCTATGAGTGTGCAGTGGTGTGTGTGTGTGTAGAGCATCTCTAGTGCTTGACAACTTAATGGATTTTAATCTGTCACATGCGTTCAAGTTTTGACATATGCATGCCCCAGCGACGCGGTCACTGCGAGCGAACCAGGAGGGGAGCGGGAGCTGCTGGCACAGCCTGGGGCCACTGCCACTGGCACTGCCACTGGCACTACTACGAACTGACTGACTGACTGTCTAAAGTGTCGTCTGCCATGAGAAGGAAGCGCCGAAAATGCGACTCACTTCTGGGCCAACAAAATAAAGAAAAAAAAGAGTGTATTCCGCAGCTATAGAATGTCTGTACAATGTATGTACAATGTGCGAGCAGAGCATGTCCATAATATACATACATAACCAAATGATATTGTATAATTGTACAACTAACTAACGGAAACTGTGGCATGGATTGGATAGTGGGGGAATCGGTGGATCGGTGGATCGGTTGCCGTGAGATGTTTGTGCAACGAAGAGCGGCGCAATTCTTAATTAAAAGACGTCAATCACTTATCAACGCTGACGCTATTTCTGGTATATCGCTGGGAGCCCAGACTCAGACCTCAGACACATCCTCATACCCGAGGCAGATCGAGTGAATCAGTTGTCTCGCCTCACCCCCTCTCTGCCTCTGCCTCTGTCCCCCAGACACTAGATAGTTCCCCAGATAGATGCGGTGGCGTTATGATTTCAGACTCGATCAAATTTCCTTTAATTTCCATTAAAAACCGCCTGACATCTAGGAAAACAAATGCACACGGATAAATAAATAAATGCTGCCCCTAAAAGAGTTTTGCCTGAATGCCACCGAAAGCAAAGAGGAAGGAAGATTTTAAGAAAAACGTTGCCAAGAAAAATAATAATAAGTCGGCAGTCGGGCAGTTGGGAGTCGGCTGGCAGGCGGCATGTGCGTGTCAGTGCGAGTCGTAGTTTCGATCGGGATGGGGACTCGGGATCGGAATATCCCAGAGAAGAGTCCAAGTCCAAGTCCAGCCCCCAAGGCGACCACCGATCGACTATGAGAGTCCGAGAGTTTAATGATCGCTCGATTCGAGGCGAGTGCCGGCAGCAGAGTTAATCATTAAATTGCCATTGATTATGTGGATGATTTTTTTTGTTTTTGTTTTGTTTTGTTTGTGCTGTGGCTCGTGTGCTGTGATCGATTCCAATCACTTTTTTGCTTAGCCGGCTGGCCGGCCGGCCAGCTCTTCATTCTTCATTTATATTGTGTATTACTCGGATTCCTTTTTGATCCGAGTCGATCGCATCGCATCTCCATACCCTCCTCACGCGCCCAATTTGTTTATATGCATAAAAAACAAAACGTATTTTCATTCAATCAACACGTCCATCAACGAGTTTGATTGATTCCTCTCGGGCTCATAAAACAGCAAAAAAAAAAAAAGAAAAGGAAAGAAACTAAACTAAACTCGATCGATCCATCCCTCTGGGATGTTAGTTTGGGGCAGCACTGGCACTGGCACTGGCACTCGCACTCTGCCGCATGCAGCATTCGTTTCGTTGATATTGGTATTTGGGGATCGTAAAAACGAAGGCGAGGAGTCAGGGCCCGCTTTATACAAATTCAAATTACTCACGTACGGAGGCAGCAATTATGCAAGTTGATTTGTTTTTTATATGTTAAGTGCGCTACACCGTAAGCGTACAGTCCATCAGAACACTCCAGCTGATTAACAAAAAAATTAAGAATTAACTTCACCGTTGTAGAAAATGTTGGCCATACCCAAACACCTTGAACTTTTCATTGCAGCGCACTCCAATAAATAGAAAAGGTGAGAAAGGGCACGTGGAAATTTGAATACTCGTAATAAAATTTCAATACGAAATTGAAGCGAAATTGGATGTGGATGTGGATGATGATGATTAGCTGCCATAAACAGATCAACAAATGTACAAACATGTGTATCCATTCATTCATACCTACATACATATATGTATACGTACATATACTTAGATGTATGCATGGGCAGGGATTGGGATTGGGATGGGGATTGGGATCGGGCAACAATTAGGATTTATTTCTGTTTTTATCGGCTTCGGTCTGCACTTTTGAGCCTGCTACGGGGGCTACAAGTGTTAATTGCCTCGTGATCGCTTGGCAATGGAGAGGGGAGAGTGGAGAGTGAAGTGTGGGGAATGGGGCATGTTTAGTGGAGGAGAATCTACTCCATTGGGCAGATAAATCTGTTTTATGGATATTTAAATCGTGTTTTGCTTATTGGTGCATTTAACGAGCGCATTGGAAAACATTTACAAGTGCAGGAACAAGTTACAAGTTTTAGTGCGCAAACAAACAAATCGGAATCGTATGAATCCCGAATCCCAAATCTGAATACGGATCTCTATATCTCACTCTGTCTCGCTCTCGCTCTTTCAGGCACGCCCATCAATCGGCTGCCCATTATGGCCAAGTCCGTGCTGGATCTGTACGAGCTGTACAATCTGGTGATTGCGCGCGGCGGCCTCGTCGATGTCATCAACAAGAAGCTGTGGCAGGAGATCATCAAGGGACTGCATCTGCCGTCGAGCATCACCAGTGCAGCGTTCACCCTGCGGACACAGTAAGTGGACACCTTGTGGCATCACCAACATACCCCATACCCCTCCATACCCGTCTTGGCCTGGCCAGAAACTATGCCCAAGACAAACACAAACAAACAGAGGAGGAGGCAAACAGAAACGGACAATCAAACAGTGCAACGTCCACGACTTGATAGCCGATCAAGCAGCAATCGATCAGCGAGTCTCAGTTTCGCTCTCCCTCTCTCGGTCTCTCCCTTATGCTCTCTGTATTGCTCTCTCGCTCGAGCATCTGGTGGATTGCGATTTGTTTGCCTGTCGCTTTCGTATTTACACGATAATTCAACTTAAATGCCCGACAGGACAACATCAACCTGAAGTTTCGAGTGTCCCCGTACCCCATTCTCCAGCCACCATCCACAATCCCTGCTATGCCATGCCTCTCTCTGCTGACTGCTCCCTCTGGCTATTTGCTGTTGGGCCATGTTTGCCGGGCTTATTAATAATTTTATGCATCTTGCAGATACATGAAGTATCTGTACCCGTACGAGTGCGAGAAGAAGAACCTGAGCACACCGGCCGAGCTGCAGGCGGCCATCGATGGCAATCGGCGGGAAGGACGCCGCTCCAGCTACGGCCAGTACGAGGCCATGCACAACCAGATGCCCCTGGTGAGTACTCCACATCCTCTTGGCATAGCTACTCCGGATGCTAATGTTCCACCACTGATTGGACAGACGCCCATTTCGCGCCCCTCGCTGCCGGGTGGCATGCAGCAGATGTCGCCGCTGGCCCTGGTCACCCATGCGGCGGTGGCCAACAATCAGCAGGCCCAGGCAGCAGCAGCCGCCGCGGCCGCACATCATCGACTGATGGGTGCGCCAGGATTCGGACAGATGCCCAATTTGGTCAAGCAGGAGATCGAGAGCCGCATGATGGAGTATCTGCAGCTGATTCAGGCCAAGAAGGAGCAGGGCATGCCGCCAGTCCTGGGCGCCACACATCCCCACCAGCAGCACCAACACCCACACCAGCAACAGCAGCCGCCGTCACAGCAGCAACAGCATCTCCTCCAGCAGCAGCAGCAGCAGCAGCGGCAGCGATCACAGAGCCCGGACATCAGCAAGCACGATGCGCTCAGCGCTCAGGTGGCACTGTGGCACATGTACCACAACAACAACAGTCCACCTGGCTCGGCACACACCTCCCCCCAGCAACGGTAAGATCGAAAATTCGAATAACTTTTCAGAGTGTAGAGTGGCGCCATCTACACTGAATGTAGCGCATTGTACTGGCGCCAGCTACTTGACGTGCTGAATAATGTTTACCCAAGACATCAACCCAATATAACATATAACACCTTTGCTCTTCTTCATTACAGCGAAGCCCTGAACCTCTCCGACTCTCCACCAAATCTCACAAACATCAAAAGAGAGCGCGAGCGGGAGCCGACGCCAGAGCCCGTGGAGCAGGACGACGGACCGCACCACCCACCGCCGGCCAAGCGAGGGGGCAGCAGCCTCCTGCCGCCTGGCTTCCCCGCCAATTTCTATCTGAATCCACACAACATGGCCGCCGTGGCGGCGGCAGCGGGCTTCCATCACCAGGCGAACAGCGGCCATGGACACCAGCACCAGCAGGATGCCGCCTCCGAGGGAGAGCCCGAGGACGAGTACGGCCATGCTGAGCACAACACCACGGGCAACTCCTCGTCCATGCACGACGACGGCGAGGCCCAACAGATGAACGGACACCACCATCACCATCACCAGAGCCATCAGCTGGACAAGTCGGATGACTCGGCCATCGAGAACTCGCCCAGCACATCCACCACCACGGCCTCGGTGGGGCATCGCCACAGTTCGCCGGTGTCCACCAAGAAGAAGAGCGGTGGCAAGGCGGCCCAGGCCAGCGGCAAGGATCAGACCGAGGAGAAGTGTGGCGCTAGCTCCGGCAAAATGAATCCCCTGGATACGCTGAGCCTACTCTCCGGCTTGCAGTTCCAGGTGTCCAGGAATGGTGAGTAGTCTAGCTGCCCAGCTATCTGGATTCCGTAAAGCGGACGTAATTCAATCCCCTATCCCTTTCAGGAACTGGCGAGAACGGAGAGCAGCAGCTCATTGTCAATCTCGAACTGAATGGCATCAAGTACTCGGGTGTCCTGATGGCGAATGCTCCAATCGGGGACCAGGCGGAGACCAGAACGGGATCGCCATGCCCCGAGCCAGCGGGTGACAACGACGACGACGAGGAGGAGGAGGAAGAGGAGGCTTCGCATGCCGTGGAGGAGGAGGCTCAACGTTCGCCAGTCAAAGAAGAAGCCAGCGAGGAGACAGACCAGGATATGGACACCAGTGCTGCTGCTGCCATTGTGAATGGTGGTGGGGGGACTGTGGGAGTGGGTGCTGCCGGTGTGGGTATCTCCCTGCTGAAGGATGCGGTGCTCAGTTCGTAGGCCTGCTGGGAAAAGTATCGAGAGAGGAATACCAAAGTCATATTTTTCAGAAAAATACAAAAGAAGTAAAACTCACACAAGCACACAGATGCATCAGAACCTACATATATGTATATACACACACACCCACACACACAAACACAAAAAAAAAAAATATGCATACGCAAACACAAACACATAAAGGAGACAGGACAGAAGATACATAGAGATGTGAGATATTAGATGGAATATAAGATGCATCGATGCATCCATTGTTCGGTCGGAACAAGAGAAAAGCATTCGAAAGAGGCAGAATCGAATCAATATGATTCGAATCAAACGTTTTATGTATGTGTAGCATACCCCCCCATAACCCATAACCCACACCAGCAACCCGCTCTAAGACTAACCGCAGCATATAGAAGATCATATAAATATAAATAATATATATGTATATATACATATACAGAAAGAAGTATATATAGGATATATAAGTTATGTATGTATGTATATGTCTGTTCAATTTCCACATTTGCATAAAAGACAAGCTGGCGAGCATATGTATGTATTTAATGATAGATCTTACACATAAGCAACTTACATATCTATATGTACATGTAAGTGCAGCATCGATAAAGCAATTAACCCATAGATACGCATACGCATACACATACACGTACACACACACATAGGCTAGGCATACCATACATAGGCTTCCCAGAAATCAGTTTGATTTTTTTTATTATGAAATTTCATCACCTTAAAGTAACCATTAATTTGTGTTAGGCTTGAAAGCTCTTCCTGTACATATCAATCAATATTGTAGTATGTATACAAAAACACACACACATCTATATATATATATATATATATATATATAAATATATATCTTTACATAATTATAAGAACACATTCATATACAACACACACACACAAGCAAACATATCCATTGTGACCACATTTGAGTACACATCATTATAGAGATATATTAGATGTAGAGCCTAAACAAGTAATAAGTATAAATGTATTTGTCGTAAAATTAAATTGCGCTCTTGGCCCAAACACACAGACAAACAGACACAGACACACTCCCCCCCCCTGCAGAGGCGCCGCTTATAAGTATCTTCGAACTACTGCAGAGCCAAGCAGAAAGTCGGCAGACACCAACAAGAAGAACATGGACATACAAATATATTCATAAGCATATAAGCGTTCAATTTATTGAATAATAAATCTATTTAATTTTAGTTGCAATTTCGCATTCGAATCCATCATATCGCGGTCATTAAATATGGCCTCTGGGCTAATTAACAGACCCCCAGTGGGTCTGGGTTACAACAAGCGGAGCTTGAGGCAAGTGAATCAATGAATGGATCGAAGTGGCAAGGCAAACAACATGAGAAGCACTCAAAGGAGCGTTGCCCCCCAGTCCGCTGCATACGATGCGGCGGTTCCTTCAGCTATAAAACAAAAGAAATATTTGCCTTTGCCTTTATGTTTTTGTTGCTGGCTTCAATTTTCACAAGGCGAAAAAGTCATAAACACACAGAAGGGGCCGTAGATTATCATCATCCTCATCGGTGGCGAGAAAGGAAGTAGGGAATGATGGCGAGGAAAACCCACAAAATGCACACCAAACAAAGTGATGAAAAGCAAATGTTGTTGAAAACAATGGATCCGTGAAATTGTTCTCGCCCCGAGGACCAGTCAGACAGCTGTAAATGGAGGCGGTGTAAGCGCAGGCTCAGGCTCAGGCCCAGGTGAGCTCTCGGGTGCCAACTACATTAATGCATAATGATGGTGTGTGGCAGAGGGCTAAGGGCTGTGCGGGTGGAGTAGAGGCCTCTGCAGGACCATCAGGATAATGACTTACGGACGCAACTTTGTTATGCCCCGGCAATGGGCCTTGATAAGTGGCAAGTGCGTTTAGAAGCATGGCCATAAACGGATAAAGCTTGGGCCCGAGAGGTTGCTCTTGAATGTACCAAAGGTAAACTCCGTTCGGATCCAGGGTATTTTCTATTCGTGTGGATTTCTGATTTCGATTCATCTCCCATCGGAACTTGTTATAGTTCTGTTTTCTTGCTTAAATATTATTACTTTAGGATTAACATTAAGGATGGGGGAATATTCTCTGAATCTCTTTGTTTGGCCCCTTACCTTTGCATGACATTTCTGGGATGCCATTTAATGACAAAAACAGCAGATATTTAAATATATATAAAGATGATGTTGCCTGTGCTGCAGTCATTTTAATGAAATTTATGGAAAATTGTTGTGGCCTTGGGTGGGCATTCGCAAACCTTTTGAAGTCCACTTTGTGGTTGCAATTTGTCAGGAATTCCCATTTAATCAAATGTCCAGTGCAATAACAGTAGGTACCTTGGTTTTGTCTGTCACTGGTCAACCAGAACTCTGGTCGGGTGTTGGGTATTCAATTAACAATAAAATAAAAAATAAATAAAGCCAACAACTTGTTGCAGATTATTTCAAGAGAAACCCGCTGACAGGAAACAACATTTAACAAATAGCGAATATAAAGAATAAATTGCACCCAGGGGATTGGATTGGTCACGTGCTGAATGTGTTACGTCTCGAATTACCGAACTAATCAGGACGCGGCTGCTCCATAAATCGTTAATTTTTTTGTGGGCAGGAGAAGAAGCAGTGGCATGGCTGGGAGCATTTTTGCTGGCCGACCCAAAGGAGGGAATGAAAAAAATTACAGAAATTAGCTCGAAGGAATGGAAGGCGCAGGAACGTCGACTGGGAAATATATGTATTTATGGATGTACATATGTATATTGATGTTGCTGCTCAAATTAAAGGCCAATAATACAGTAATAAAGTTGGCATCCAATCGGCCTATGGCCACCCAAAGCCAAACCGAACCGAACCAAATCACCCACAGAGCCGCCACACGCACAAACACACACAAACCCATACGGGGGCACACACACGCACCTTTGCAGGCAGCGGCGCTTAAAAGTATTTATAAATTTTATATAATGTGCTTTCGTGCACAAGATATAGGACGTATCGGAAACCCATCCCCCAGAAGCCATGCCCCCCAGCATGAGGTACATAAAGTACAATAGCGGTTTGCCCTTTTTGGTGCCGAGCGGGAAGTAACCTCTATTATTTACCAATACAATCTAAGCTTTAAAAAAGAAATGTAAAATTACCTACCTACCCAGCTGATGTGGAACAGCAGCGGTGGGTAGGGGGCGGGCACATCGGATCCGAGCACGAGCACGAGCGCGAGACAAGAAGGCGCACGAGACCGAGACACGAGTACGAGCGGGAGACAAACATGTGTACCCTGCACACACATGGCAAGGCATCGCAGCGCAGCGCATCGCCTGTTTAACATACAACAATTGTGTGGCTCTTTAGTACACAGAAAGAGCACGGGGGGTGGCTGGGGGGTGGTTGGTTCATTGTGCATGTGTTTATTTGGCATGGGGGTACCGTGTACCGTGTACCTCGTGTATGTGCTTAACTCGGCTCAAACTACGGCCTGTCCGCAAGCAACAGTTGTCCCGCAGCTCGAGAGAATGTTGCCGAGCATAAAAGCTTGCCCACTGCAGGCAGCAGCAGCAGCGGCAGCAGCAGCAGCGACGCCTGCGCATTGCAAGCCTCAGCAGCGGCGGAAAATGTTGCCTACTGCTCTGGGGGCAGAAGGAATATGTACATATATTATTCATCCCTCCAGCAGTGGGAAGCTTGGCTGGGTCTGTGGCTGGCAGCGCGGAGGCAACTTCAAATTCACCCTTATCAGAAAGCTCTCCACAACGAACCAACACAAACACACACACACACAGGTATGCTATCCCCGTTTTGTATCTCAACATTTGCGGCGGGCATGCAACAAGCAGGCTTTGTTTGTATCCGTGTGCGGCAGAGGGAGGCGGGGATGCGTCTCCTTCTGCTGTTGCTGCCGCTGCTGCTGCTGCTGCTCAACATAAGCGCTCGGGTGTCACGAGGATGTGGAACGACCACGACAACGATGACGACGACGACGGGGACAGAACAGCACTCGACTTATGTAGATGTTTTTGCACACTTGAGAGTTTAGTTCAGTTTTGGCAGAATTGATAGATACTCGTACCCGCAGCACAGCTCGCAGTTGTACCGTTTTGCGGCAATAGATATAGATACAGATACACACGAACACAGGCAAAGGCACAGGTTTTCCCCCGCTGTTTTTGGGACCCACTGGCTTGGCTAACTGACTGCCTGGCTGCCCGTCTGACTGGGCCACATCGTGTCTATCTATTGCCATCAGGCAGAACCAGAACCAGCTCCAGCTCCAGCACCAGCACCAGAGCCAAAAGTAAAAGCAAAAGCCAAACCAAAAACGGCAGCACGCTTCCAGTGGGAAAACATTTCGCTTGTTCCCGCTGCTACCGACGCGTCGCGTCGGTCCGCCCTCAATGAATCCACGTTGATTTTTTTATCGGCTCTGCTCTCCCCTCGCAAATGTGATTTACAATACAACCACCACAAATAAACGTACAATCAACCACCGAACTCGGTGCGAGTGCATTCAGCGGATAAAGTTAGAGTTGAAGTGCTATCCAGTGGTCCAAGTGCTGCTCCAGGTGCCAGTCCCAGGACTCATCAGCCTGCAATTCTCAAGCAATTTGCATAAGGTAATACATTTTTGTCAGAGTTCCAGCACTCCAGCACCCCAGCACCCCCAATCCCTGCCGTTCCACATTGATATTAATACGGTGTCCCTGCCTCCCCCTCTGGGCATGCCGTGATTTGTCTCTCCCTCCCAGTAAAAGCTAGCTCCAGCTAATTGATAGTGGAGCTAATTGATAGTGGAGCTGCTGGGTAGCGCATGGCCAGGCCAGGCCGTGTATGGAGGAGCCAAGGCAAACGCAATTACAATTACCAGCAGAAGAGAAAAAATGCTCATACCAGGATGAATGGATGAATATAAGCTCATCAAGTGAGGAGCCAAGAACAAGAACAAGAACCGTACACCGTACACCGTACCGTGCGTGTACGTGTGTGTACGGTACGGGACGTGGACGTGGACGTGTACGTGTACGTGTATGAGTGTGTGTTTCTGTTTCTGTTTGTGTACTTTTGTATGTGTTTTTGTGTACTTGTGAGCTTGTGTGCCGGGGTCTCGGCAAAGTTAAGCTGCGTGTGGAATGGGTTGGATGCAGAGACTCCCCGCCGGAGAGTGGGTTTTGCCGGGTAGCAAGTTAAAATATATATTTGATGAAATAGCCAGTAGAGTTAAGCCTGATTTCTTTCGATAGAGTAGCTCCATGTTTGCCTTGCTTCAACAAGAAGCCGTCAAACCTGTGGCAGTGGTAAACGAAAGGTTTCAAAATTCAAATCGATGAGCATTTTCCTATCATTACAGTAGGGGGGTGTAAATTTTGAATAATTGCTCTCATCACAGGAGAAAGCTCCTAATCGCAGTAGACCTAACTCAGAATCAAACAAGCTTCCATCCGGATAGGAACTAAATCAGAGCAACAATATGGATATTCCCATACGGATGCCCCATACAAATTTCGCAATTTATTTATCCTTCTTAAACAATGCAACATCAATGCAGAGGACGACGTTTTTCCAGTGCAGGGAGGGACGATGTGTAGAAGTGTAGCAGAGAATATCAAAGTCATCGCCCCAATACCTCCACTCCATCAGCCATACCATACCCTAACATAGAATAGGAAGAATACCCCCCGAATGGTTTTAAAGTCCACTCCATTATGGATGCAAATCCACGTTCTGTTTAGTTTTCAATGTACAAAATATATGTATGAATATAATATTCGAATGAAACAATCATTCCAACCACTTTTATTTGAAGAGCTAACCGAAAAATGTTTTTTTTTTCTGAAGCAAATTGTGGAACCTGATAAAACCTTCCTTAAATATTCCTCTTGTGCGGCTGCTGCTGCTAATAATAGCAAAGGTTCCCAATGCACTTCCCCAATTCAATACACAATCAGTGGTATTTTATTATTCCTCATTCAAAGGTGATTCAAACTTGAAAAGAATTCTCTGTAATATTTTGGGGCTCCACCAACTAACTCCCTTTAAAATATATCGCTTGAACAGCTCCTCCATTGCGATCACGCGATCAGCTCCAACGCAATGTGCGCTCCCTCTCTCTCGCTCTCAATGCGCTCAGCATTTGGCTTTGATTTCTTTTCTTTCATGTATTCCATTCTACTGCCGCTCACAGCTCTCTCTGGCGCTCTCAAGTTCAGAT